TGTCCTGGGCTGCTCCCTGGACACTCTGGAGGAGGTGGGCAGCAGGAGGATGCTCGCTAAACTAAAAGCTATGATGGACAGTTCCTCCCACCCCCTCCAGCCCGCCCTGACAGCACCGGGTAGCTCCTTCAGCCAGAGACCGTAGCACCCGCGCTGAAAGAAGGAGAGACACCGCCGCTCGTTCCTACCGACTGCTGTCAGGCTCCTGAATAAACATGCGTGAAAACCTGTAACCATTGTAAATAGCACAGCCACCTTTTGTATGCATAAGATGCATATATGCAACTTATATTTAAACTGTGTACAGTTTTCTGAAACATTTAAAGTACTGTAGTTATTTTGTGCGTGCAACACTTTGTTTTTTTTTTCTTCTCTACCCCCCGCCCCACAATTTTGCCGCTGTAGACTGCAAATTTCCCCAATGTGGGACAAATAAAGGTTATCTTATCTTATATTATCTTATTCAATGGGTATCACAAGAAACCGCTGAATAAATAGTATAAACAAGACTTTTTGTCATTCATACAAATAACTATCAGGGTGTGCATTTAGCGGCCGCGTGCAGAGTTATGGACAATTTCCTCTCCACAAGTGCCGCTTTTCTATCAAATCAGTCCTGTAAAAACTGCTTGCCCTGCCATCACTTCACCACTTTATCAAAAGTGGTGGGTGGACGGTGTGCTGGCAATCATGCAGAACACCAAAGGTCTTTTTTTCTGGCACTCATATGGGCAATTGTCAAAAACTGTCCTCCATGTAACTTTGTCCTCTGTGATTTTAAGGCAATTTCATTTGATGTTTTTGATGTGACATGAGCCAAACGCATTTTGGCTGTATTTTGTGTTTTCGGAGAGCGTTTGGTGGGAGTGCCTACTTGTCACAGTGATTGGGAGTGTGTGCACTTATCCACAACAAGTTGACACACGCACAATGGAACACGAGTGTCTGTTGATCTATGTATGCACATGTTGACACGTGCAAACACACAACAGAAAGACAAAACAAAATCCAAATGGCAGGGTTAGATGACGAAAATTGTGGATCACACGCTTCCTAACCAGATCCATGACAAAAATGCCATTTTCAATAGATGGATAAAGACGAAAATTGTGGATCACACGCTTCCTAACCAGATACATGACAAAAATGCCATTTTCAATAGATGGACAAACGATGCGTCGATGTGAGTTACCCCATACTGATGATCCATGTTCTGGATGATTTGCTTCTGGATATATTTGATTTTCCTCATGTCCCACGTGTCTGTCATTCAGTTTTTGTGTCCAGCTGCACAATAACGTACATTCCCGTATGGAGAGAGTATGGTCCGCTATGACCATGAGAGCGGCAATCGTTCGTTACTACACAGTGAAGTAAGTAGCTCAGGAGCAAAGAAAGTGGGGTGGGTTTTATGATCTACAAATATATTTTTCTTAAATTGTGACATGATAACAGTGGTATTAAGGGGTGGATGAGGTCAACCAAGTCCCCATTGAAGGCCCTGGTCTGAAATGTACCGCCAGCCATTGGTCCGTTTCCACTTATCATTGAGAGAAAAATAAAACAATGCTTGAAATATTACCACCTTGGACACACACTGGAGGATGAAAGTATCCTCTCATCTCTTCTACTTGATTACAGCAAAGCGCTTCCTGGTCTCGACAAGGCAATTTAGTTTGTAGTTGCACCATCAATTGGCTGTGGGTATTTTTGCACATCCAAATTCATCAAAGCACTTGACATTTACTTCAATTTATGCACTTCAGTCCCTTAATGTTGTTACCGTATTGGCCCGAATATAAGACGGTGTTTTTTGCATTGAAATAAGACTGAAAAAGTCGGGGTCGTCTTATATTCGGGGTCTCGATATTATACCCATTCACGCCGCTAGATGGGGCCAGATATCATTGAAGCGAATGCTGAACTTGACTCCCCAGGCCAAAGTGAACCCCTGTCACGAAGAATAAAAATAAAAATAGCGGTAGCACGAAGAAGAAAAATAAAAAATGGCGGTAAGAAAGAAAAGAGAAGAAAATAATAGAAGAGATAACAGAAAATGGAGAAACGTAGCGACAATCTCGAGAAAAGTGGGTCAAAGATCGGCCAGGTTAACCGGCAGCTGAGGAGAAGTTCTGATGTAATTTACATTTCAAAAACCAGAGGCCATTCAGTTACGAATGTGATTGCACTTTAGTTTACATATTTAAATATTCAGATATTAAGATTTGAATGAGGCAAAATAACATGCTTTTTCTCTCAAATATATTGTTATAATCATTTGTTTCAGATGTACTGTAATTGTTTTCTGTATAAAAATTAATTTGGTGTTCAAAAAGTCTTTTTTCAAACTTGAGTCTTGAAAAAGAGGGGGTCGTCTTATAATCAGGGCCGTCTTATATTCAGGCCAATATGGTACTTAGCCGCGTCACTCACCACTGAAAGAAACTCACAATACAATGCGAACGTTGTCCTCCAACCTCTTCATACAACCTGAATAAATGTTTAAGGCACACAAACAACTGAGACGAACAGATTTCCTCTCACAATAAATTAATTTGTGGCCTTTTTTTCCCCCCATTTTGACTGCAGACAACCAAGACGTGGCACGCAGCACAGGAGACAGTGTTGAGGAAGCTTGCACAGATTTGATTGAAGTGGGCAGAGCAGCCTTCATGAAAAGATGCAATTTTTTATTTTATTTTATTTTTTTTAATTTCACCAACCAATACTCAAAGCACATGTGTGCCGAATCATGCATGGAGAGGAAATCCATATGGCTGACGGATTAAAGATGAGCCATTGCACCCTCAAAGTGGCTTGTGGGAGCGGCGGGGTCATCCACCACAGCTGATACTCTCCCACATTTGGCAGGTTGGTGGGTGGTGATTACAAGCCCTTCATGGGCGCGTTTCCCAAAGAGTCTTATTTTGTTCTGTAACATGACAGTGAAGTATTTATATTGCTGGTAGGGGTGCAACTAACAAATATTTTAATAATTACTTTATCAATTGATTATTTGTTCGATGTATTGATGAATCAGATGAAAAAAATCTGATTTAAATTGCCTTCCCTTTTATCCAAAAATAGGGCATTATTTCAAATGGACAGCGCACAAATAATTATTTCGGATTTCAGTTATTGGGTTTGGTCCGTATCGTAAAAAAATAAGGATTTTTTTTTTCCAAAGCAAAAGCAATTGTTTCATTTTCACACAACACAACAGAAAACGGACGTTTTCTGTTGAGAAGCTGAAACTGATCATTCAGACAATTTTAAAATGAAAGAGTTATACTGACCATTCATTGATGATGACAAATAAATTAAAATTAGTGCTCGATTAATCGTGGCACATCTAATAGCTGTCACTTTGCACTGTTGCAAAGACGTGTTTTTAACCCTTTCATCGATCCTGTAACCTGACAAATGATAAGCCACTGTAGTAACCGCTGTCCTTCAAAGGGTTAATAATGATACCGATGATACTACAAAGTAAATAGAGAGTAAAAGTGAACCGGCACACTCAATAATGAGATGGGATTTTAGAACTTACTGTAGGTGGTAGACATTTTCTCCTCCTTTCAGCCACACGTACGTCATGTTTGAGGGGTCAGCCAGGGCCTGACATTGAAGAAGTGCATCCTGGGATACATTAATGGAGGTGCTTTTGGGAGGTACAATGATGACGGGGGGACCTGGACAAAGGCAAAGACACCACATACCGTTCATTATATTCCCTTAAGAAATTTGTCGCTGATTAAGTTCTTTTTCAAACCGAGTCAAGCATTCCATCCATTTGTTGCTATGCTTCGACTTTATTATACTGATGATTTGCACTTATTATCATCATAGGAAAGATTAAGAAGCTAAAGGGAAATTTCAGTTCCAAAATGTACCCTTTAAAATATCAAATGAATGCTCAGCGATGCTGCTGCCAAAGAGAAGCACAACCATCCCCACATACCTTGAAAATAGAGCAGCTGCGAACAATAGAGGAATCCATGCGACAGCAAAGATTCAACCAAATCAAGGGAATGCAACAATTATGATATTGTGAAATGATTTTTTGGATGAACAAAATTCGGGTAGACTGCAGCAGATAGCATTTAATGCTCCACAACGGGGATTTTTGTGTCGGTAACAGCAACACCACACAAACTAAAACAACCAATGTCAAAATAAACACACAAAACAGGACAGAATCCAGTAGCCTTGTCTTGTATGAATAAGGAAGTTGCACACTAATATACAAGACTAATCGTAATAATAAATCATTTTGTTGGAATGAAATGAATATACAACCATGCAGCGAGTCTCAGTAGGTCCACGCAGGAGCGTGTCGATCAATCAGAAAAGCTCATTTACTCTAGCTCAGTAGTTTCTTAAACGCATATATTACATGTGAGTCAACACCGGAAAATACTTTACACAAGACCAATTTTTAGCGAAATTCAACATTTAAAAATACTTTTTGTTTTTTTCTTATGTCATATTTTGTTTCTTCATCTTTTATCTTGATGGTGAATTGGAAGATTTCGTTAGCTGTAGGCTATCATCATCGGAATTACAAAAAAAAAAAATCATTAAATACATCACTGTATATATTTTTTAGATGCACCCATAATCCCTATGCAAAAAAAAAACTAGCAATGCATTAGCTGGAAAAAAATTCTTATGTAATGTTGATGCCAAACCTCTAAACTGTGTGGTTTTTGCAAAGCCTCCCTCCATATTGCAGGTTTGATTCACCGCATAGGTCATTTTTAAATATGCGCATCAAGACTGCAGCAGTCATCACTCATCAGTTCTACTGTACATCCCTAAATGCTTGATGGATGTATGCCTGAGTGATGGTTTAGGGGTTGCTCAAAGGGGCTTGTGGGAGCGGCGGGGTCATCCACCACAGCTGATACTCTCCCACATTTGGCAAGTTGGTGGGTGGTGATTACAAGCGCTGCATGGGCGCGTTTCCCAAAGAGTCTTATTTTGTTCTGTAACATGACAGTGAAGTATTTATATTGCTGGTAGGGGTGCAACTAACAAATATTTTAATAATTACTTTATCAATTGATTATTTGTTCGATGTATTGATGAATCAGATGAAAAAAATCTGATTTAAATTGCCTTCCCTTTTATCCAAAAATAGGGCATTATTTCAAATGGACAGCGCACAAATAATTATTTCGGATTTCAGTTATTGGGTTTGGTCCGTATCGTAAAAAAATAAGGATTTTTTTTTTCCAAAGCAAAAGCAATTGTTTCATTTTCACACAACACAACAGAAAACGGACGTTTTCTGTTGAGAAGCTGAAACTGATCATTCAGACAATTTTAAAATGAAAGAGTTATACTGACCATTCATTGATGATGACAAATAAATTAAAATTAGTGCTCGATTAATTGTGGCACATCTAATAGCTGTCACTTTGCACTGTTGCAAAGACGTGTTTTTAACCCTTTCACCGATCCTGTAACCTGATAAATGATAAGCCATTGTAGTAACCGCTGTCCCTGAAAGGGTTAATAATGATACCGATGATACTACAAAGTAAATAGAGAGTAAAAGTGAACCGGCACACTCAATAATGAGATGGGATTTTAGAACTTACTGTAAGTGGTAGACATTTTCTCCTCCTTTCAGCCACACGTACGTCATGTTTGAGGGGTCAGCCAGGGCCTGACATTGAAGAAGTGCATCCTGGGATACATTAATGGAGGTGCTCAAAGGGTTAATAATGATACCGATGATACTACAAAGTAAATAGAGAGTAAAAGTGAACCGGCACACTCAATAATGAGATGGGATTTTAGAACTTACTGTAGGTGGTAGACATTTTCTCCTCCTTTCAGCCACACGTACGTCATGTTTGAGGGGTCAGCCAGGGCCTGACATTGAAGAAGTGCATCCTGGGATACATTGACGGAGGTGCTTTTGGGAGGTACAATGATGACGGGGGGACCTGGACAAAGGCAAAGACACCACATACCGTTCATTATATTCCCTTAAGAAATTTGTCGCTGATTAAGTTCTTTTTCAAACCGAGTCAAGCATTCCATCCATTTGTTGCTATGCTTCGACTTTATTATACTGATGATTTGCACTTATTATCATCATAGGAAAGATTAAGAAGCTAAAGGGAAATTTCAGTTCCAAAATGTACCCTTTAAAATATCAAATGAATGCTCAGCGATGCTGCTGCCAAAGAGAAGCACAACCATCCCCACATACCTTGAAAATAGAGCAGCTGCGAACAATAGAGGAATCCATGCGACAGCAAAGATTCAACCAAATCAAGGGAATGCAACAATTATGATATTGTGAAATGATTTTTTGGATGAACAAAATTCGGGTAGACTGCAGCAGATAGCATTTAATGCTCCACAACGGGGATTTTTGTGTCGGTAACAGCAACACCACACAAACTAAAACAACCAATGTCAAAATAAACACACAAAACAGGACAGAATCCAGTAGCCTTGTCTTGTATGAATAAGGAAGTTGCACACTAATATACAAGACTAATCGTAATAATAAATCATTTTGTTGGAATGAAATGAATATACAACCATGCAGCGAGTCTCAGTAGGTCCACGCAGGAGCGTGTCGATCAATCAGAAAAGCTCATTTACTCTAGCTCAGTAGTTTCTTAAACGCATATATTACATGTGAGTCAACACCGGAAAATACTTTACACAAGACCAATTTTTAGCGAAATTCAACATTTAAAAATACTTTTTGTTTTTTTCTTATGTCATATTTTGTTTCTTCATCTTTTATCTTGATGGTGAATTGGAAGATTTCGTTAGCTGTAGGCTATCATCATCGGAATTACAAAAAAAAAAATCATTAAATACATCACTGTATATATTTTTTAGATGCACCCATAATCCCTATGTGAATGAGGCAAAATAACATCCTTTTTCTCTCAAATATATTGTTATAATCATTTGTTTCAGATGTACTGTAATTATTTTCGGTATAAAAATTAATTTGGTGTTCAAAAAGTCTTTTTTCAAACTTGAGTCTTGAAAAAGAGGGGGTCGTCTTATAATCAGGGCCGTCTTATATTCGGGCCAATGCGGTACTTAGCCTCGTCACTCATCACTGAAAGAAACTCACAATACAATGCGAACGTTGTCTTCCAAGCTCTTCTTCATACAACATGAATAAATGTTTAAGGCACACAAACATTTGAGACGAACAGATTTCCTCTCACAATAAATTAATTTGTGGCATTTTTTTTCCCAGTCTCACTGCAGACATCCAGCACGTAGCACGCAGTACATGAGACAGTGTTGAGGAAGCTTGCACAGATTTGATTGAAGTGGGCAGAGCAGCCTTCATGAGAAGATGCAATTTTTGTTTTTATTTTCATTTCACCAACCAATCCTCGAAGCACATGTGTGCCGAATCATACATGGAGAGGAAATCCATCTGGCTGACAGATTAAAGATGAGCCGTTGAACCCTCAAAGTGGCTCGTGGGAGCGGCGGGGTCACCCACCACAGCTGATATTCTCCCACATTTGGCAGGTTGGTGGGTGGTGATTACAAGCCCTTCATGGGCGCGTTTCCCAAAGAGTCTTATTTTGTTCTGTAACATGACAGTGAAGTATTTATATTGTTGGTAGGGGTGCAACTAGCAAATATTTTAATAATCACTTTATCAATTGATTATTTTTTCGATGTATCGATGAATCAGATGAAAAAAAAATCTGATTGAAATTTCCTTCCCTTTTATCCAAAAATAGGGCATTATTTCAAATGGACAGCGCACAAACAATTATTTCAGATTTCAGTTCTTGGGTTTGGTCCATATCGTGAAAAAATAAGATTTTTTTTTTTCCAAAGCAAAAGCAATTGTTTCATTTTCACTCAACACAAAGAAAATCAGTCCGCTTTCATGGACGACAACAGAAAGCGGACAACGTTTACTTTTGAGAAGCTGAAATTGATCATTCGGACAATTTTAAAATGAAAGAGTTATACTGACCATTCATTGATGATGACAAATAAATTAAAATTAGTGCTCGATTAATTGTGGCACATCTAATAGCTGTCACTTTGCACTGTTGCAAAGACGTGTTTTTAACCCTTTCATCGATCCTGTAACCTGACAAATGATAAGCCACTGTAGTAACCGCTGTCCTTCAAAGGGTTAATAATGATACCGATGATACTACAAAGTAAATAGAGAGTAAAAGTGAACCGGCACACTCAATAATGAGATGGGATTTTAGAACTTACTGTAGGTGGTAGACATTTTCTCCTCCTTTCAGCCACACGTACGTCATGTTTGAGGGGTCAGCCAGGGCCTGACATTGAAGAAGTGCATCCTGGGATACATTAATGGAGGTGCTTTTGGGAGGTACAATGATGACGGGGGGACCTGGACAAAGGCAAAGACACCACATACCGTTCATTATATTCCCTTAAGAAATTTGTCGCTGATTAAGTTCTTTTTCAAACCGAGTCAAGCATTCCATCCATTTGTTGCTATGCTTCGACTTTATTATACTGATGATTTGCACTTATTATCATCATAGGAAAGATTAAGAAGCTAAAGGGAAATTTCAGTTCCAAAATGTACCCTTTAAAATATCAAATGAATGCTCAGCGATGCTGCTGCCAAAGAGAAGCACAACCATCCCCACATACCTTGAAAATAGAGCAGCTGCGAACAATAGAGGAATCCATGCCACAGCAAAGATTCAACCAAATCAAGGGAATGCAACAATTATGATATTGTGAAATGATTTTTTGGATGAACAAAATTCGGGTAGACTGCAGCAGATAGCATTTAATGCTCCACAACGGGGATTTTTGTGTCGGTAACAGCAACACCACACAAACTAAAACAACCAATGTCAAAATAAACACACAAAACAGGACAGAATCCAGTAGCCTTGTCTTGTATGAATAAGGAAGTTGCACACTAATATACAAGACTAATCGTAATAATAAATCATTTTGTTGGAATGAAATGAATATACAACCATGCAGCGAGTCTCAGTAGGTCCACGCAGGAGCGTGTCGATCAATCAGAAAAGCTCATTTACTCTAGCTCAGTAGTTTCTTAAACGCATATATTACATGTGAGTCAACACCGGAAAATACTTTACACAAGACCAATTTTTAGCGAAATTCAACATTTAAAAATACTTTTTGTTTTTTTCTTATGTCATATTTTGTTTCTTCATCTTTTATCTTGATGGTGAATTGGAAGATTTCGTTAGCTGTAGGCTATCATCATCGGAATTACAAAAAAAAAAAATCATTAAATACATCACTGTATATATTTTTTAGATGCACCCATAATCCCTATGCAAAAAAAAAAAACTAGCAATGCATTAGCTGGAAAAAAATTCTTATGTAATGTTGATGCCAAACCTCTAAACTGTGTGGTTTTTGCAAAGCCTCCCTCCATATTGCAGGTTTGATTCACCGCATAGGTCATTTTTAAATATGCGCATCAAGACTGCAGCAGTCATCACTCATCAGTTCTACTGTACATCCCTAAATGCTTGATGGATGTATGCCTGAGTGATGGTTTAGGGGTTGCTTAAGGCTTTTAGTCTCTCCCATCAGCTCATCAGGCAAACATACTGTAATCCATTCATGTGGCAGCACTCCTAAATCAAGCATCATAAGCACAGATAATATAACTCAGCCTGCATTTGCCGTAGCGTTTGAGCGGTTCCATTTGGCTGACGATGAGCACTCAAACAGTGATTTGAAATCTAAAAATGAAATGAACACACCGCAAGGCAGATACAATTCTACTTATATGTCAGCAAACGGTATCCGTGGAACAGGAAATTGTAACTGGTAATAGGGGGGCGGATTTATAATTGCCAATAGATGCCACAAGATGGTGGTGACATATCATGAAGCGCCTCAACTCACTTCCACAGACTTTTTTAACACAAGATGGAACCAAAGCAGGACCAGATTTGATTGAAGTGGGCAGAGCAGCCTTCATGAGAAGATGCAATTTTTGTTTTTATTTTCATTTCACCAACCAATCCTCGAAGCACATGTGTGCCGAATCATACATGGAGAGGAAATCCATCTGGCTGACAGATTAAAGATGAGCCGTTGAACCCTCAAAGTGGCTCGTGGGAGCGGCGGGGTCACCCACCACAGCTGATATCATTTAAACAGAACAGCAAATAGATGAGTTTTTCAGCAAATAACATATCATAGGCTAAAAAAAACTGTGGATTGGGGAAATTTCTCCCACATTTGGCAGGTTGGTGGGTGGTGATTACAAGCCCTTCATGGGCGCGTTTCCCAAAGAGTCTTATTTTGTTCTGTAACATGACAGTGAAGTATTTATATTGTTGGTAGGGGTGCAACTAGCAAATATTTTAATAATCACTTTATCAATTGATTATTTTTTCGATGTATCGATGAATCAGATGAAAAAAAAATCTGATTGAAATTTCCTTCCCTTTTATCCAAAAATAGGGCATTATTTCAAATGGACAGCGCACAAACAATTATTTCAGATTTCAGTTCTTGGGTTTGGTCCATATCGTGAAAAAATAAGATTTTTTTTTTTCCAAAGCAAAAGCAATTGTTTCATTTTCACTCAACACAAAGAAAATCAGTCCGCTTTCATGGACGACAACAGAAAGCGGACAACGTTTACTTTTGAGAAGCTGAAATTGATCATTCGGACAATTTTAAAATGAAAGAGTTATACTGACAATTCATTGATGATGACAAATAAATTAAAATTAGTGCTCGATTAATCGTGGCACATCTAATAGCTGTCACTTTGCACTGTTGCAAAGACGTGTTTTTAACCCTTTCATCGATCCTGTAACCTGACAAATGATAAGCCACTGTAGTAACCGCTGTCCTTCAAAGGGTTAATAATGATACCGATGATACTACAAAGTAAATAGAGAGTAAAAGTGAACCGGCACACTCAATAATGAGATGGGATTTTAGAACTTACTGTAGGTGGTAGACATTTTCTCCTCCTTTCAGCCACACGTACGTCATGTTTGAGGGGTCAGCCAGGGCCTGACATTGAAGAAGTGCATCCTGGGATACATTGACGGAGGTGCTTTTGGGAGGTACAATGATGACGGGGGGACCTGGACAAAGGCAAAGACACCACATACCGTTCATTATATTCCCTTAAGAAATTTGTCGCTGATTAAGTTCTTTTTCAAACCGAGTCAAGCATTCCATCCATTTGTTGCTATGCTTCGACTTTATTATACTGATGATTTGCACTTATTATCATCATAGGAAAGATTAAGAAGCTAAAGGGAAATTTCAGTTCCAAAATGTACCCTTTAAAATATCAAATGAATGCTCAGCGATGCTGCTGCCAAAGAGAAGCACAACCATCCCCACATACCTTGAAAATAGAGCAGCTGCGAACAATAGAGGAATCCATGCGACAGCAAAGATTCAACCAAATCAAGGGAATGCAACAATTATGATATTGTGAAATGATTTTTTGGATGAACAAAATTCGGGTAGACTGCAGCAGATAGCATTTAATGCTCCACAACGGGGATTTTTGTGTCGGTAACAGCAACACCACACAAACTAAAACAACCAATGTCAAAATAAACACACAAAACAGGACAGAATCCAGTAGCCTTGTCTTGTATGAATAAGGAAGTTGCACACTAATATACAAGACTAATCGTAATAATCCATACAGAACGATAGATGGCGCCAGATATCATTGAAGCGAATGCTGAACTTGACTCCCCGGGCCAAAGTGAACCCCTGTCACAAAGAATAAAAATAAAAATAGCGGTAGCACAAAGAAGAAAAATAAAAAAATAGCGGTAAGAAAGAAAAGAGAAGAAAACAATAGAAGAGATAACAGAAAATGGAGAAACGTAGCGACAATCTGGAGAAAAGTGTGTCAAAGATCGGCCAGGTTAACCGGCAGCTGAGGAGAAGTTCTGATGTAATTTACATTTCAAAAACCAGAGGCCATTCAGTTACGAATGTGACTGCACTTTAGTTTACATATTTAAATATTCAGATATTAAGATTTGAATGAGGCAAAATAACATCCTTTTTCTCTCAAATATATTGTTATAATCATTTGTTTCAGATGTACTGTAATTATTTTCGGTATAAAAATTAATTTGGTGTTCAAAAAGTCTTTTTTCAAACTTGAGTCTTGAAAAAGAGGGGGTCGTCTTATAATCAGGGCCGTCTTATATTCGGGCCAATGCGGTACTTAGCCTCGTCACTCATCACTGAAAGAAACTCACAATACAATGCGAACGTTGTCTTCCAAGCTCTTCTTCATACAACATGAATAAATGTTTAAGGCACACAAACATTTGAGACGAACAGATTTCCTCTCACAATAAATTAATTTGTGGCATTTTTTTTCCCAGTCTCACTGCAGACATCCAGCACGTAGCACGCAGTACATGAGACAGTGTTGAGGAAGCTTGCACAGATTTGATTGAAGTGGGCAGAGCAGCCTTCATGAGAAGATGCAATTTTTGTTTTTATTTTCATTTCACCAACCAATCCTCGAAGCACATGTGTGCCGAATCATACATGGAGAGGAAATCCATCTGGCTGACAGATTAAAGATGAGCCGTTGAACCCTCAAAGTGGCTCGTGGGAGCGGCGGGGTCACCCACCACAGCTGATATTCTCCCACATTTGGCAGGTTGGTGGGTGCCTGAGTGCACTTCCACAGACTTTTTTAACACAAGATGGAACCAAAGCAGGACATTTAAACAGAACAGCAAATAGATGAGTTTTTCAGTAAATAACATATAGGCTAAAAAAAACTGTGGATTGGGGAAACTTTGTTCTGTAACATGACAGTGAAGTATTTATATTGTTGGTAGGGGTGCAACTAGCAAATATTTTAATAATCACTTTATCAATTGATTATTTTTTCGATGTATCGATGAATCAGATGAAAAAAAAATCTGATTGAAATTTCCTTCCCTTTTATCCAAAAATAGGGCATTATTTCAAATGGACAGCGCACAAACAATTATTTCAGATTTCAGTTCTTGGGTTTGGTCCATATCGTGAAAAAATAAGATTTTTTTTTTTCCAAAGCAAAAGCAATTGTTTCATTTTCACTCAACACAAAGAAAATCAGTCCGCTTTCATGGACGACAACAGAAAGCGGACAACGTTTACTTTTGAGAAGCTGAAATTGATCATTCGGACAATTTTAAAATGAAAGAGTTATACTGACAATTCATTGATGATGACAAATAAATTAAAATTAGTGCTCGATTAATCGTGGCACATCTAATAGCTGTCACTTTGCACTGTTGCAAAGACGTGTTTTTAACCCTTTCATCGATCCTGTAACCTGACAAATGATAAGCCACTGTAGTAACCGCTGTCCCTGAAAGGGTTAATAATGATACCGATGATACTACAAAGTAAATAGAGAGTAAAAGTGAACCGGCACACTCAATAATGAGATGGGATTTTAGAACTTACTGTAGGTGGTAGACATTTTCTCCTCCTTTCAGCCACACGTACGTCATGTTTGAGGGGTCAGCCAGGGCCTGACATTGAAGAAGTGCATCCTGGGATACATTGACGGAGGTGCTTTTGGGAGGTACAATGATGACGGGGGGACCTGGACAAAGGCAAAGACACCACATACCGTTCATTATATTCCCTTAAGAAATTTGTCGCTGATTAAGTTCTTTTTCAAACCGAGTCAAGCATTCCATCCATTTGTTGCTATGCTTCGACTTTATTATACTGATGATTTGCACTTATTATCATCATAGGAAAGATTAAGAAGCTAAAGGGAAATTTCAGTTCCAAAATGTACCCTTTAAAATATCAAATGAATGCTCAGCGATGCTGCTGCCAAAGAGAAGCACAACCATCCCCACATACCTTGAAAATAGAGCAGCTGCGAACAATAGAGGAATCCATGCGACAGCAAAGATTCAACCAAATCAAGGGAATGCAACAATTATGATATTGTGAAATGATTTTTTGGATGAACAAAATTCGGGTAGACTGCAGCAGATAGCATTTAATGCTCCACAACGGGGATTTTTGTGTCGGTAACAGCAACACCACACAAACTAAAACAACCAATGTCAAAATAAACACACAAAACAGGACAGAATCCAGTAGCCTTGTCTTGTATGAATAAGGAAGTTGCACACTAATATACAAGACTAATCGTAATAATAAATCATTTTGTTGGAATGAAATGAATATACAACCATGCAGCGAGTCTCAGTAGGTCCACGCAGGAGCGTGTCGATCAATCAGAAAAGCTCATTTACTCTAGCTCAGTAGTTTCTTAAACGCATATATTACATGTGAGTCAACACCGGAAAATACTTTACACAAGACCAATTTTTAGCGAAATTCAACATTTAAAAATACTTTTTGTTTTTTTCTTATGTCATATTTTGTTTCAGCCTGCGTTTGCCGTAGCGTTTGAGCGGTTCCATTTGGCTGACGACGAGCACTCGAACAGTGATTTGAAATCTAAAAATGAAATGAACACACCGCAAGGCAGATACAATTCTACTTATATGTCAGCAAACGGTATCCGTGGAACAGGAAATTGTAACTGGTAATAGGGGGGCGGATTTATAATTGCCAATAGATGCCACAAGATGGTGGTGACATATCATGAAGCGCCTCAACTCACTTCCACAGACTTTTTTAACACAAGATGGAACCAAAGCAGGACATTTAAACAGAACAGCAAATAGATGAGTTTTTCAGCAAATAACATATCATAGGCTAAAAAAAACTGTGGATTGGGGAAATCTGGAACATGTGACTGAACAGTGAATATGTGTTCGGGTTTGGGGATTGCAGATGAATTCAAAATAACGTATTATCACATTAGTTGGCCTGGAATAATAATGTCTCACATTGTAGCCATTGTGCAATAAGTAACATTGTTAAAAGATACAATGTCATGCAACATTTCCGTTGACTGTTGTAGTGTCGACAGCACTCTGGAACATGTGACTGAACAGTGAATATGTGTTCGGGTTTGGGGATTGCAGATGAATTCAAAATAACGTATTATCACATTAGTTGGCCTGGAATAATAATGTCTCACATTGTAGCCATTGTGCAATAAGTAACATTGTTAAAAGATACAATGTCATGCAACATTTCCGTTGACTGTTGTAGTGTCGACAGCACGGTGCGTGGAAATAAATTTCATTTGACAGCTGCAAGTGTAACAGTTACACTCCATCACCATATTTATGTTGTCCCACTCCCACCCAGTATGCATGCAGGCCCTTCACCAAGGCCCGTAAAATCCCATTTGAACACTTCTGTATTCTGAATGTTCTGTGTATGGAGTTGGATTTCCTCTGCAGAGATGAATAAAAAAATTCCTGAAGGAAGCTTCAATTTTCACACCATTCTCTGCCAGGAGGGTCCAACCAATCAATCATGGGCGACCGGTAGTCCATGGACTTGTCCCAAATTGACTGCGAGGGGGTGTAGGAGGAAATGTATGTGTGTGGATAGATTTTTGTGTTAGTGTACACTGCTCCTGAAGCACCGTATCAGTTTCACTTTCATAAAGAAATTAAATACATTTTTAAAATCAGGTCACCTTAAAGCGACGATGGCGCATGACCTGCATCACCGGAAGTTGTTAGCAATCGGCGGTCTGCAATTGCAGCTAGCCATCAGAGCTGTTGAGATGTGTCTACTTTTTGTTTATTCTCATTCAGAGTTTGTTTGAGCTTCACCGATGGCATTGTCAAAAAATGGGAATCTTGAGCACCAGGAAAAGCATTTTAAAATGGTACACGTACGTACGATACGTCCTGCACTTAGCACGCTGCGTGTTAAGCGCGTCCCTGCTTCTGTGTCAGGTCTCCCACGGAGGTTGGCAGTGATTCCCTTTTCACAAACTCACAAGCTCTTCTCATCTATTTTATTTTTCTGTTTTGTTCATGTTATGGTTCGTTATGACTGTTGCTCATCATGGTGTGTGTGTGTGTGTGTGTGTGTGTGTGTGTGTGTGTGTGTGTGTGTGTGTGTGTGTGTGTGTGTGTGTGCATATGCATGCACATGCGGTAACAGATCGATGGCAGGAGGTTGGCTGCTTGAAAAGTAGATCTTCGGTCATAAATGATTGGGCTCCCCTGTTCTATGCAGCAGAGTGGGAGTCTAATCATATTAGACACACTCGCCCTGTAAAATGGTATGGTGAAAATCTTCTGGAAGGTACTGTGTTGTTGCAAACCTGAAACATTAGAAGGAGCGTTTGGCAGCAAGTCAGCATTTAGCAAAGCATCTTGAGCGGCTGCAACAGGATCCAGCCCACAAGCGCAAAACCACCACAGAGCTTGATAAGCCAAATGGGCCTTCCAATGTTCTCAGCAAATTTTTTGGACAGGCTGCCAGGTAGCAGATGGAGGAAGAAGGTTGCAATGACTGAGCCCGATCACCTATAGGCGACATTGTCTAAGTGATGAACAATTTGGTATTTCTTTTTCCCAGTAAAATGTCTTCCGTGCACACATTCATTTTCTGCCACCGATACTCTTCTTTGTCACTGTTGATCTCATTCCGTCGGAATGGGAAAGGGGTCAATCACAGTCCGCAAATAGACAGACACTAATGGTTTCACGTACTTGAGTACATTTATATGTCACATATAATGTTTCAATAGTCAAATTGAAAATATAAATATCAACTCAGTATTGAATTTTAACTTGTAAATTATGATTGAGGGTGGCACGGTGGTAGACTGGTTAGCACGTCAGTGCCACAGTGCAGAGGTGCAGGGTTCGATTCCGGCTCTGGCCTTCCGGTGTGGAGTTTGCATGTTCTCCCTGTGCCCGCATGGCTTTTCTCCGGGTACTCCGGTTCCCCCACCACATTCCAAAAACATGCGTGGCAGGTTAATGGAACACTCTCATCTGTCCCTAAGTGAGAGTGTGAACGCGGATGGTTGTTCGTCTCTGTGTGCCCTGTGATTGGCTGGCAACCAGTTCAGGTTGTCCGAAGATGGCTGGGATAGGATCCAGCACGCCCGCAACCCTCGTGAGGATAAGCGGATTAGAAAATGGATGGATGGATTATGATTGATTACAGGAGCGGCCAATTCATTTTGAATTCAATTTCTCATGTGGCCCCTTTCAAAAATGGAGCCGCATGAGGAATTGGAACAGGTGTCGAATGTCCACATCAACAAGCTAACCTCAACTGTGTTCAGGATTAATTTTAGGTATTGATCAAACGCAATAAATTCTTCTTTTTGTTTCGGCTTGTCCCATCAGTAGTCGTCACAGTGCATCATTTGTTTTCTGTGTAAGCCAAAATTTCTGCTTCCTCCTCCCTAACGCCAAGTGACGTAATGACTTCCCTCACTACATCAATCAATCTTCTCTTAGGTTTTCCTCAAGATCTCTCTTTATCCTCATCAGCCTTTTGCCAATCAACTCACTGTCTCTAGTCCAAACCATGCAAGTCTGCTCCTTCTAACTTTGTCTCCACAAAATTCACCCTTGGTCATCCTCAAATGAGGTCATTTCTAATCTTGTACAGCATGGTCACTCTCCAACCCTGGTTGATAAATCAATGATCGATCGATGGCACGATCGTCGGCATACAGGCAGGCAAGCGGATAGATACACATTGGGAAATTATGACAAATTATTTGAATTACAGAGAAATGTAAAAAATGCAAGGGATCAATATAAATATGGTCAAATCAAATAAGCATCAACAGATTTTCATTTTAAAATGCATTCTACTTGAAATGGACTTGAATAATTGCATTTTTAATTACATATGATAATAGTTGATTTTTTGTTTACTACTTTATCTGTAAATATTATAAAATCATAACGACTGATTAACCCCTTACTAGATAAATGTGATTAGTTTTTGCTGTTATTGTCAGCACTAACTGAAAAATCTAGGAGAAAAAACATTTTTATGAAGGTAAAGTCATAACACTGATGAAAGTCTAATATTGTGGGATCCGTGTTGAGTGTCAATAAAAGTGTACAGCTTGAGAGTCCTTTGCTTCTCCACGATGATGCAAGAGAGGGAAACTAAAACTCGCATTGGCTCATAGCCATTCCATTACCGGCATGAGGCATCCCAGAGGAACTGGCACACAAACAGACAGACAGTCCGTAGACAGACTGACAGACTGACAGACAAGGGCTGTTACTGACCTTTTATCTTTACCTTTGTCTCGAGAGTCGCGTTTCCCTCCGAGTTGGAAGCGTGACAGGTATACTGTCCCGCCGACTGCACGCTCACTGCTGTCAGAGATAAGGCTCCCTCCTGGTAAACATGACATGACAGATACATGCAGGTGGACCGTACAAGCTTGTTCAAGAGAATAGATGAATGGTTAGTTTGCACAAAAATGAACTGAAGGCCGAAACATAAAAGTACAGACATTGAGAAAAGGCTCATAGGAAAGTCCGCATATGTGTTTAGACATACAGATAAAAACTCATTTAACTAGCTAGCTAGCTAGTTTTTGAACTTGCGAGCTAGCTAGTTAGTTAAATGAGTATGCCTACCTGATCATTCCCTGTTTGAATCACACCGCCATCTTTCAGCCAGGTGATGGTTGGTAGAGGGTTGCCGACGGCAGCACAGACAAGAGAGAGGTGACCTCCAACCAGAGCCTCCAGGACAGCGGGTGGGGTTTTGGTGAAGCTTGGGGCCGCTGGAAAACAAAACACGAACCACCTTCTGTTGGTGAAAAAGGTAAACTAAAAAAAGAATGATTAACTATTTCTTGACTTCAATTCCTTGGATATAATCTTTGTATACACACTATATATATTCTTTTAATCAAGGGCTCGTTCCAGAGCTCTCTTCCATTGTGTCAATCACAATCTTGCCTGTCGTAAAATGCAGCCAACTACAGTGCAATGGTGCATGTCATACCATCACAAACCTGTCGCGAAAGCACCCTTAAATGAAACTAAAGCAAAGGGGAAGATTTCATTTTTAGATGGATTATATCATTTAAATAATTAATGTTTTACAAACAAGACGCAGTAGCTTTTTTCCAGAAATTTAAAAAAAATCAGTTTACTGTAAAGAAAATTATAGATCAAAAGTAGCTTGTGACAATGTATGGAATTTTACAGGAACAAACCACCCCAAAATGATACATTGTATCTAGGTAAATATTATATTAACATTGTTCTGTGTCATAGAATAACATACAACTAACTACAAGATACTAAATACTAATTTTGTATTGTAGTTGTGAAAAAGGAAAAACAAAAACAACTGCCGTACCAATTACAGAAAGCATGATCCAGGTGCCGTTTCGAAGGTCCTCTGAGGGTTTATCGAATAAAAGGATGCGACACTCATACGGTCCCTGGTCATCCAGGAGCAGACCCTCCAGCTTTAGAGTGCTGATGTCCACTAGAGACACCCGCCCTGCAAAGACACGAGTGCAGGTAAACAGCAAACAGCAGCAAGCGGACAGCATGCAACATTGATCTGATTGGATTTCGAAGGTATGAGATTTGTCCAACTGTCAGTGTAATCAGTGTTAGTTTGCGCTAAAACAGTATTTTGTTTTGGTGACATTGCCTGTCGCGCCCGCATACACACATACAGTCTGTGCAAAACCCCAAAACAACACGGGCACATACACACTCAGAAATCTGATCTCTGAACGGTTGCCAGGTGATTGCTCCCTTGACAGGTTAGTTCAAAGCATCAAGATGTATTCTTTTTATTCTTTTTTCTAAATCTCGAAAAAAAAAAAAGGCACAAAGTTGTGCGGTCGTGTGTAGTATATAACACAAGGTTCAAAGTTTCTTGAGACTGCGCAGCAAGTGTTGCTCCTAACAGTCCGAGAAAAGCAGGAAGTTAATGTTAAGTATGTTATTGGTGATAACACACCCTATTTACTTTTCCAGGCTGCCAAAGGGGACGAAATCCACAGAGTATAGAAGGGAAGGTGGAGTTAAAATTGGGCAAAGTGCACTGTTTACCAGCTCAGTGTGATAAATAGGTCACCGTAGCACCGCAGCGGAAAGGTTGGGCTGGGCTAACAAACGTGCCTGGGAGGCGTGTGATAAAAGGACAGGAAGGTGGTGCTGCACTAAGGACATAACCTACACTGAAGCCTCCAGTGGGAAAACGCTCGACTGTGAGAGATTTGAATCTGAGGTCAATTTGTGCGTGACGTAGGTGAACAGAGAAACATAAAGTGTATTTTCCTCCAACTATATCATGAATTATGGTGTCTTGTTTAACATGTACTATTTGATGTTGTTGTTTTGTTTTTTTGTTGGGTTTTTTTTAAAGTAGCAGCAATCCTCCTCAAAATGATGTCCAAATGCATCCAAAATAAAGGGAGGGCACACATGACATATACATCAAATACATACGGTAACATTGATAATAGCATCTCTGGCATTGTGACCCGACTTTATTTGTGTCCATTAATATTGATGGCGAGCAGTGAACTGACAAAAAGTTCTTGTTGAATTTAGTCAATTTTTTTTTCATCAAGTGGTTGCATGATATAAAATCATCTGGATCCAGGTGAATTTTTGAAGTAGGCTCTAGATCTGCTTGAAAAATGTGTCTGGGAGATTTTATTTGGCACGGACGCTTGATGAAATTGAAAATGAATAAATTCAACAAAAACGTCTTGAAGTGCACCGTGTCCATTTAAACAGCGTTTTGCACTCAGTAAATGTCCGCTCTATACTAAATTCCATAATTTCTCTCAAAACCTGCTGCCACACCCAGTCCTATATGTATGCCTGTTTCTTCAACATTAAAGCAACGCTTATACAAAAAGAACAAACCAGGGATAAAGTCCCAGTAACCATTTTTGAAGAATGGGGGCTGGCTGCCCAAAACAAACAAACGAAAAAACAAAACCAAACTAAATAACGATAAATAAAAAAATATTGTTCACATTTTGGGGCCATGTTTTTTAAGCAGATATATCGTCGACTTAAAAAAACGTATCTTAGGTCCAGATGATTTTTATTTTGTGCAGCCACTTCACAAAATTAAAATGAGTAAATTCAACAAAAACTTTTTTAGGTCTTATAGGTGAATCCGTGAGCACCAAGACCGCAAGTTCCATTGTGCGGTACTACTCCTATCTACCATGTTTTAACAAACTTATTGGGACTGCTTGCACTTCAATTACACATTTGTTATGAGTCTTGTCTGCCCAAAAAGTAAAGTGAAGTTTCAATATTCTGAAATTTTAAATTTGGGGCCAAAAAATGAATCGTCAATTGATAACCGAACTTTTCCTGTAAATATAAGAAATGACTCCAAGGTAGTCTGAAAACGGCACGGTTTGTGACAATGAAACACATTTAAAGTCTTGGGCAAAGACTCCTCCAATTTCGCCCTGTCGTCTCAATGCACATGGACTAAAGCAAACACGCACCACTTGCGTCGACCATTCCCTCGTCTGCACATCTCCCTTCTGCTCACTGGCGCCTTTCAATTAGCTGACTGCTTCAAAATAATGTCTTCCATTAGGTGAATTCATGCATGTGAACACGAGCCCCCCCCTCCCCCCCCAACCCCCCAAATTGCCTAAAGCAAAACACTTTCCAACCGAAGCTTTCTTTTTCAATACTTTGATTTTCAATACTGTGACTTGGGACAGTGTGCAATTCATGATTTTGAACAAAAGATACGTTTACAATTGTTCTGCCTTGGCGGAGGTCTGCGACAGAGTGATGATCTCGTTCTACTTTGTGTCGGTTTCATTTTCATCGAAAGTGTTGAGCAATGACTGATCCGCGTGTACGTTTGGGTTTCGGTGAGGCGTGATCATTTTGGCATTTAAATAAACTGATCGTCCGCGGTTCGGTTTTGAGCAATGACTGATCCGCGTGTACGTTTGGGTTTTGGTGAGGCGTGATCATTTTGGCATTTAAATCAACCGATCGTCCGCGGTTCGGTTGGGGGGGGCCTGAAACAGACGTGAGTCATCCCAGTACATACATTCATGTGTGTCTATGTGAGAAAGGAAGCATATTCTCAATGTGAACTGTGTGCAAAATGTGAACATCTGCCCACAGTCTGTTCTTGCTGATTGCGACTGGATTTAATCAGGAAGAGCTCACTAAAATCACAGATAGATATACAGCTGTGTTTATTTTTCATCGAGTATGGATGCAGGAGGACTCGGTCATGTTCACACAGCTGACACTACTCTAGCGTTTTTCTCTTTCTTTTTTTTATACAGCTCTACCAAAACAAATACATTCATAATCTTCTGGGGTTTGTGAGCAATGAGTTACAAATCCATTTAATCCTACACATTGGTGAGTTTAAGCATTAGCTAACAATAAGATAAATAATGGACATGATGATGCGCTGTTTGGTAGGCAACACTGTCCGTTTATTTATTCATGATCTGGTGACATAGAAAAACAAGAGCCGCAGTCAACAGGGAAACCACAGTTGAACTGCGGCTCCCCCAAGCCAAACCCTCGCGACACCTGAGCACATGACCAGAGGAGGTGAAATCCACACCTGTTGTTCTTGAAAGCGCCCGTTTCCCATGATGCACCTGTTACTCCCACAGCCAAGTAGCTATGTGAAGCAGCAGACTACAAAGCAACCCTTTCAAACGTTTTGTAAGGCTGCAGGAGAGTCGTTTTTGTTTGTCACAGGAGCAGAGGGAGATAAGGTAACTGGATGATTTACGGCCGGTGCAGTTGTAGACAAGCGTTGCAACGTCAATTGCAGGACAAGGGTTAAAGATATTTAGGGGGTCCTGAATAACAGCATGTTTCCCCACTTGATGTGACACTGTAACATTCATTGTTATAAAACGTGACCTGGGAGCACGTTGATGGATCAGACCCAAGAGTGAGCCCCAAAAGGTCGACTGTCGCTTACGAGCCTTGGCCAGAATTGAATTCAGCTTCACTGTCACAGAACAGTAATTCATCTAGTCAAAGTTCAAGATGAGTTTATTGACATGTAAATGTCCACGTGATATTTCCTGGTCAGATAAAGTGAGGGAGTGGCATCCCACTCATATGGGAAAGGAACTGATCCTTTGACAAACACAAAAAAAAAAGTCTTATTGTTGCTCTCTACTTGGCGTGGTGATTACCTACGACAGGGGTGTCAAACTCAGGTCCTGGAGGGCCGCTGTCCTGCATGTTTTCCAAGTCTCCCTGTTGCAACACACCTGATTCAAATGAACAGGTTCAATGTCAGGCTTCCGCAGAGGTTGCTAATGATCTGATCATTTGAATCAGGTGTGTTGCAACAGGGAGACTTGGAAAACATGCAGGACAGCGGCCCTCCAGGACCTGAGTTTGACACCTATGACCTACGAGGTCAATTTGTTCCTGAAGTCGTGCTAATGTAGTAACTTCACATTCCAATAATTCTGAATGCAGTATTTATGAGTTGGTTTTTTTTTTGATCCGGAGCAATTTATCCCAGTGTTTTTAAAACACCCTCTCCAACTACACCGTCGTTGAAAAAGCATGGCATTTCGACTCATTCCTACACTGCCTCGGGAAATCTCAATATGACATTTAAATGTGCCACCAAACGCTTTCTCTTCATTTCCTCAAAGGCGTTGACAGACAGCCCAAATACACCCAAGTCGCACCAGCATGGAAAATATTTCAGTCTTATCACCAAGATGGAAAACATTGCTTGCACCTGTGTTGAGTAGCAGTGACATACGAAGCAATAAATCTCCCCACCTCAGAGAAACGCGAGACAACACTTGGGAAGGCCAATCAACAACTCCACAACGAAATACAAATGTAACGCCGAGTATCACATCGATGAATCATTGTTTTGGAGCCCAACAAAAGATGTCACTATCGTAGCAATTGATTAACTGGGAAATCAGTTCGCATGAGTGAAAATATTGAAAATCAAAACTGGTCATTAGCGAGGTTGTATTTTGTCATGACGTTAATAAATATTGATTGAACAAAGTAGTCGTTGCGTCATTGCTATGTTAGCTATGTTACTTTGTGATTTGTAACATAGCTTACCTTTTCAAATGCATCTCATGGCAGAGAATGCGATACTTGAAAGGGGGAGTCATAGTTACCGTATGGTTCTCGTTAGAATCGCATATTAGTCAAGCTCATACGTGATTTTTTTTTTTCTTTGATGATGGACCTTCCCTTAGCAACATGATTCAGTTAGCAAGATGATTCGAATGAGGACACCAAAGGCATTATGATGATCAGGAATGGTTAAAAGTGTCTGTGAGCGAGCTATTTGGCGCAAACTGCACACGCCGCTGTTTTGCCCGAATAACCAGGAGCACTCTGACGTTATTAGCTCATAACTTGGCAGCTAGGCTGTCTGAAGTTCCAACGTTGTCACTCTAACAAGACTTTTGTTCAAACATTTCGATGTCTTCCCTGCAGGAACCCAAAAGGGCACGTCGGTCGATTTTCAATTCAGGTACCAAGGTGGAAAAGAGAAGTACTCTGACAAAAAAGGCCTGTCTGAAACACCCAGACATGCTTTTCTTTTGTCCATTCATTGTTGGTGATTTTAAAGGATAACCGCAGCTACACAAAAGTACTCCGAGTACGATAATCGTTTCCCCTGAAGACAGTCTTTGTTTTCTGGGCCGCGGGTACAAAAGATGACGATGCAACAAAAGTAAGGTCCTTCTAAAAGTGGCTCCCACAGAGGCTGGTTTAGCAAGGCCGGAAAGGTGTGGTTGTGTCTTTTGTCATAGAGCAGTGTTTTGTTATACATCGCACTATTTCCGTGTAAATCACGGGGATTGCATGTCACACATGCAGAGAGAGCCTTCATCATCGTTTTTGGATCCAACTTTTGTGTGATTTCATGAGGATCGCTAAAATGCATTGTAAAATGAGAAATCTCAGATTAAAACTCCTCCAATGGATCACAAATAAAACCGGCCCGCTATGCTTCAGCGATCAACTGAGTGAAACCGCACAGTTCAGCTGCAGTCAGCATTGTTTGCTCACCCTCATATTGTGGATGGACACGAGGAGGATAGGAGCCAAATTTGATCAACACGGGGATGTCGAGCCCTTGTCGCACCCATTCAACCACATGCAGTGTCCCGGATGACACGTCAGCTGAGTGGGGTGGACCAACGCTGCAAGTCAACTCCACCACACCGTTGACCTTTCCGCGCACCTCTGGCATTTTGCCATCAATAGTCCCTGTAGGGTTATGACAAGTAAAAGAATACATATGCTCAATTTTTTACAGAACATGAGATTTTTTTTGAAAAGGAAAATATACCTTAAATGTAAAGTTGCATGAAAAAGTACTTACAGAAGAGGCAAAAAAGAGCCGCCACTGACAGAGTCCGCCAGTAAGATCTTCCTGAGCCCATATCTGTCGTTCAGACCACCTGAAGCATGCTCAATCTGTTGGCAAAAAGCGCATGATTGTCACACTCGCATCAATAACTTGGCCGCAGACACACATACGACCATCTGTGAAACCACAACAGCTTGAGGTTCTATTTCCGTCATGATTTTCCAGACTCCGGAGAAGGAGCATTTTGATACATTTAATATAGCTTTCAATGATTGGATTTCATCCCATGTCATTACACAAATGGCCATATTTGCCTCAGTAGCCAGAAAACACCCCGGCCCTTATATCTTTCTGTGAAAGTAAATGTCACAAACGTCGTGTAAATCTTCCAAGAGTCATGTGCATAATGACATCTTAGTGTTTTATTTCGAGCACATCAACGAAGGCTTTTGGCTCCTGCGCCACTCAAGGGCCAAGATAAGCTGAGCTCTTTATGGCTGATAGTAAAGAATCGACAGTTAACACTGGTGGAGTTACGCGGTGGACAGGAGTCTTTGGCCACCCCACATTTAGGTGAACATTTTCATACCTGTGATCTTTCCTGCCGTTTTCACATGGACGCAGTATTCCGAGATCCCTTGAAACTCTGCCGTATCATTTCCTTTTTTTGGGGGGGGAGGGGGGGTCGTAGAGTGCAGAAGGGACCTCGGACTAAGGATCAGGCTTGTCTGCATTGTAAATAATTTAAAATATGTCCAGCATGTGGCAGCGGGTGGAAGGGATCAGCCAGGATCATGCTGGAGAAAAAGTAGAAGTAGTGGGGGAGGGATGTATGGGCGGAGTTGTGGAGTAGAGTTCGGCGGAGTAGCATGTTAGTGGAGGGTGCATTCGAACTAGTCGCCATGGAGAAATGAAAAACAATTAACCCATGATTGCTTATGGGGAAGACAATCTTGCACCATGCGGAGGGACATGGAGTAGCTAAAAGCAGCAGGATTCTTTCATGCATACAAAAGTAACAAGCAGCCATCAAAGGAGGCTCTGTATGTACACACATCGTCTGCTTTCATGAAAAATCCACACTGCAACAAAGGTGCCTGCACAAAATAAAACCAGAATACGGTGTAAGACATGTTGTGTGCTCTTGTATCAGGGCAATTGCTTCATTTTGTCCATCCATCCATCCATCAATTTTCTGAACCGCATCATCCTCACAAGGGTCGCGGGGCATGCTAGAGCCTATCCCAGCTGTCTTCGGGCAGTAGGTGGGGGACACCCTGAACCGGTTGCCAGCCAATCGCAGGGCATACAGAGACGAACAACCATCCGCGCTCACACTCACACCAAAGGACAATTTTGAGTGTTCGGGTGGAAGGGATCAGCCAGGATCATGCTGGAGAAAAAGTAGAAGTAGTGGGGGAGGGATGTATGGGCGGAGTTGTGGAGTAGAGTTCAGCGGAGTAGCATGTTAGTGGAGGGTGCATTCGAACTAGTCGCCATGGAGAAATCAAAAACAATTAACCCATGATTGCTTATGGGGAAGACAATCTTGCACCATGCGGAGGGACATGGAGTAGCTAAAAGCAGCAGGATTCTTTCATGCATACAAAAGTAACAAGCAGCCATCAAAGGAGGCTCTGTATGTACACACATCGTCTGCTTTCATGAAAAATCCACACTGCAACAAAGGTGCCTGCACAAAATAAAACCAGAATACGGTGTAAGACATGTTGTGTGCTCTTGTATCAGGGCAATTGCTTCATTTTGTCCATCCATCCATCCATCAATTTTCTGAACCGCATCATCCTCACAAGGGTCGCGGGGCATGCTAGAGCCTATCCCAGCTGTCTTCGGGCAGTAGGTGGGGGACACCCTGAACCGGTTGCCAGCCAATCGCAGGGCATACAGAGACGAACAACCATCCGCGCTCACACTCACACCAAAGGACAATTTTGAGTGTTCAATCAGCCTGCCATGCATGTTGTTTTGGAATGTGGTAGGAAGTACCCGGAGAAAACCCACGCAGGCATGGGGAGAACATGCAGGGTCCACACAGGGAGGGATCGAACTAATGACCTCTGCAATGTGAGGTTGACTCACTAACCACTAGACCATCGGGCCGCCCGCTTCATTCTGTATCACACCTCCAAAAAAATATGCATAAATTGCAATGAACTTACACATGGAAACAAACACTTGCACAAACTCACTGAACTCATTGTTTACCTTCTGTTCATAGTTCTTTTCACCAGTTCAAGAGAGTGCAGATAAATACTGTTTTTATGTTGTTTTGAGATGTCACAGCAAAAAATAGTGGTGCCATACTTTAAATTATGCTTGAAATTCCTTTCTTTGCAAAAAGGTCTCATTCTCCATTTTTATTTTGTCACACAAAATGGATATCTGATGAAATGTAGCAATTTTCTAATGCTGATTGCTAAAGAACAGAAAAGGAGAGAAACAAACTTTTTTTTTTCAGCTGAAACACTAGTGAAAATGATTGGGATTCAATGAGTCAAAGAACAAGTTCACAATTGGTCTGAATGCCAACTCTCTAACTTTGTCTTTCGCCAAAAACATTTGATTCTTATAGTCAATGTCAATTCATCCATAGCAAGCAAACAACATGGCTGCAAAGTCATTGTTAATAATACCATCCACAGTCGTGGTTTCATAATATAAAATGCAGACATATACCAATCTTGCCCAATATTGTCTTGTTTTCTATAATGTTGCCCAACACATTCATATTAGAAGTGGGAAGAAACCTCGTAAAAAGCAACGTGAAGAATTGGGAAGAATTCAAGTTTTTGTGTGTGTTATTGTGCTTTTTAAATATGAACCGAAGGAAAGAGTCTTCAAATACAGTATGCAAAATGGTGCTACTCGTCAGTCACAAGTTATACAGCAGAATCACAGTCACCCACTCAATATGTTCTTCTCACTTCCCGGTAGGTGCTAAAGATTGTCGCCAAAAATTTCGAAACCAATTACGATACCTCGTATTTACACAACATGAAGCGAGGTTGAAAGACATTTCCCACCAACATCCTTTGTATTTCCTGCATCGTGTCAAGGGCATAGCTCGATCGGGGAGAGGAGAAATATACAGGAGCTTACACATTATCCTTCCAAGCCCTATCTACTTGTAAGCAAAGGTTTCCAGCCTCTGAGCTATTGTCACAGCTCTTTTGGAAATGAAAGTCACATTGAGGAGCGCAAGGGCCACGCAAAGCATAATAACTGAGATCAAAAGACACCCTCCCCTGATGGGTGGCGATCCCGTGGGGTTGACCCTCTTTGCTGACACCACTGTCTTTCACCGACGAGTACACAAAATAGTCTTTCACAAAGTTTAATGTAGTCCAATCCCTACTTGGACAAAAGGGTATTGACTCGTGGCTGCCAATGTCATCCGAGTGCAATGTTTCTGTGCCTCAACAAATACGCTGCCAGCTGGGTTTTTCACCGAAGCAAGCAGGGCACGAGAAACTTCCTGGATGAGATGCAACTGCCCGTTGTGTACAAGGTGTAAGTTGATGCTGGCGTCACAAAAAAATGGACCACACCTCGACCACTAAGAATTTGCAAGTAACCGTAAAAATAAATGTTACTTTGGAGATTTGTTCAAGGAACTGCGTTAAAAGTTTGAATAAAGTCTAAAAAATACGATGTGAAGGTCTACCGTCCCTCTGAGCTTTCCTGAAAGACGGGTAGCGGCGTCAATGTTTGCTTTGACTGTCAGAGCTACTCTCGTCTTATATAACCCAAAGAAAGAGCAAAATGTTCTTCCAAAGAGCACTGAGCAGAAAAAAAATTACCCAGATGAGAAAATAGCAAACAACGGTCATCGACACATGACTGCCAGATGGCCTCTTGTCACATCCCTCGACATCATCAAGTATAGGACTGGCTCCAAAATCTCAACAAGAACAGGAACCATGTCAAACTCGCATCAATGGAGGATTTTCCCAAGCTGGGCCATGTGGAGATGAAACCTCAAGGAAATCAACTGTGGTAAAACTATTTTAACAAACATGAGAATGGATTAATTATATCGTTAGAATTTGCATGAGGGAAATTAATTAACCCTACCCCACCCCCATAAATAAGGTCAAATGAACTAATGGAAGATGGTCTTCGACTTCAAGGGTACCCTGCTTTATTTTAAGTGTGTGTGAGATATATATATATATATACACGTATATATATTCATTCATTCATTCATTCATTCATTCATTTTCCGAACCGCTTTATCCTCACAAGGGTCGCGGGGGGTGCTGGAGCCTATCCCAGCCATTTTCGGATTTTCGGGCAGTAGGCGGGGGACACCCTGAACCGATTGCCAGCCAATCGCATGGGACACAAAAACGAACAACCATCCGCGCTAACACTCACACCTAGGGACAATTTTGAGTGTTCAATCAGCCTCTCATGCATGTTTTTGGGAATGTGGGAGGAAACCAGAGTACCCTGAGAAAACCCAGACAGGCAGGGGGAGAACATGCAAACTCCACACAGGAAGGCTGGAGGATCGAATCCACGACCTCTGCACATTGACGTCGACCATTGGACCACCGGTCCATGTGTGCATGCCTTTAGACATGGGGTTGGGATGGAAAAAAAACTTGACGGGAGCAGACGGAAGGGGTTCCAATCGGTAAAAAAAATGTTGCACGAAATAGTGAGAGTCCATGAGGAAAAAAAGGGGTCACAATATGTCCAATAAAAGAGTATAATGCAAATTTTGTTGTTTGTGGCATGAAATTCCACTCCTGTGTCATCCTCTAATTATGAGAGCTATTTATTAATAAATAGGTATTTATTAGAGTCTAATAGATACGTATATTCTCCGGTATAAATAAATAATTACAGGACCAGAATGGCTTCCGAGAGGCTGTTCGTAAGCTGAATTGTTGTTGTTTCCAATTGCCGTTTGAGGTAATTTAAAGAAAAAGTAAGGTGGGCTTGTTGCAAGTCAATCACAAGACACGTACAACAAACAAGTATTTTACAATCACATTGACATCAGCTCTACGGGCAATTTAGAGTCTTGAGCAATAAGCATGTTTTGTGGTTGTGTGAAGAAGCAACCATCCGTACAAAA